ACTCTTTCGGTTTGACTGGACAAATTTTAAAAACATTACCAAAATGTTAAAATATACATTAATCTACTTGTGTTATAAGCATGTTTAAAAATGCAACAATACTACTACTAAGTCATAACAGGCTTTTTGGTTTGACTGGACAATTTATATATGCATATATACAGAGCTGGGTAGATTACTTACAAATGGCACTTTTCCACTGCATGGTATGGCTTGGTACAGTTCACTTTTGGGGGGGTTTCCACTGGGTACAGTACCTGGTACTTTTTTTAGTACCACTTCGGTTGGGGTTCCAAGTGAACCGTACCGTTACCAAAACGTGACGTGTGAACTCTGCTGATCACGGATTGGCCGGAGAGAATCGTCACTACCTGCGTCACTGAACTTGCGACACAAACACAAAAGAACCGCTAGATTTAAATCAGCACAGCCAGCGAAGCATCGAACGCAACTGTTGACAAAAAGTCTTGTTGTCTGTTGCGGAAGTACAGACGTTCCTCTCGTTGATAGCAGAGGAGCGGATCCAGTGAGAGCTTGATGGGGCGACGCGGAATGAAAAAGTTTTTTTTAGGAGTCGTGGTAGTAGAGGCGGCGCAACAAAACGTCATGTGAATAATCCCACCCACTCTAAAGCGGTACTGAACTGCAGTGGAAACGCAAATCGTGCGGAGCCGAACCATGCCATGCCGTACCGAGCCGTACCGAGCCGAGTCGTACCACGCAGTGGAAAAGCGCGAAAATTGTAGTCTGTTACTGATTCCAAATTACATGACAAAAATTGTAGTTAGTAACGTAATCCATTACATTACACATTTTAGGTAATATAATCAGACTACTTTTAGATTGCTTTTGACCTAACTCGTTCATCACATTGATTTAAATAGGACAATCTTCTACCACGGTTTCCCAAACTGGGGGTTGTGAAGGAACTGCAGGGGATTTGTGAGTTTAATGAAAAGCTAACAATTAATGAAATCATGAATATGCAACATTAACATAAATCACTTTAAAATAACAAATCAAAATAAAACACTACTAAAAAATGAAATACTTTATTTGTTTACTTGCATATCATGTGACCATTTAACCAACATCATGCAACATGCAAATGTGATATTTAATTATCAAAATATTTATTTTAAAATCGCAGGGGCTACTTCAAATAAATATATGAGGTGAAAGAGTTAAAAAAAAAAACGAACTACCAGTCTATCTTACGGTGTCTTCTTCTAAAAATCATCTTTGACAATTCCACCTTTGAAATAAGAGGCTAATCCAGCTTTAAAAAAGACGAGAAGCGCAGCACCGCTATTATATATATATATATAAAAAAATATTAACATACATGCATTAGAAAAAAAGATGCAAAACAGTCTCAACATCCATTCCACAAAAAACACAATATTCGGAGAGATCAGCTTTGTATCTCTTGAGGAACTGGTTAGTTGGATAAATTATATGCATAACTTTAAAGTCAATTTCACTAACTTTATTAGTGACACAGTATTTGTTATTATAAGTCCAAATCAATTTCCAATTGATATTCTCAAAAAGGTTATTCCAGAGTAGGCTACTTATATCGAAATGTTGCAGGGCAATTAATCAAATATCTAAAAAATATATTATTACACTGTTTTTTATCTTTAATATCAATACCGTTTAATAAGATTTCTTTTTTAAAATGTTGATTGCTTTGACTCACAGACGCCCTGCAAAAGCCTCACAAATCCTGCTGGTATTGCAACTACAATAGCCTACACTCATCTGGAGGTATTAATTTCTCTGAAAATTCAGAATGTTTAAGTAAATATTCTTCATTATTTATCAGCTGTGGGACCATTAGAATATAATTTTAACCCAATTATTAGCCTAAAAAGTGTTTCACAAAGGCGACGTCAAGCGTGATCAGTCTGATCAGTTTTCATGTTGATGCATTAAAAAGATTCTTATCGAAAAATCAGGCAGTACATTCGTAATATTCAAGACTCGAAAATGTTTTTAATTGT